GTTGTCCTGCGATCCAAGCCCGTGAAGGACATTTTTCGCAAGAGTGAAATTGCTTGTGGTACCCTGGATTGCATACAGCGCAAAGTGGACCTTGATAGCCTTCTCCACATGGTGAGTCCAAACCACCTTTGCAAGACTCCTCTATTTGACATCTGTATGGTGTTGGTATTGAATAAGGATACTGCACTGAGAAATCATCCAATGCAGGTAGCTCCCGGGCGAGATTTTTCATGAAATATTCATAGCGATGTTTATAGGACTCGTTCCGCCATTGCCACCAAAAGCCAGGTTTTAGTGAGGCATACTCATCTTGGCATAGCAGCCCGCTTCGGCCACATGTAACACACTTGTCAAAGAGATGAGTTCGGTAATGTCCTTTCAAGCAGGGACAAGCACGATGTCCAGCGAAAAAGTCGGTTTCCGTTCCTGTAAAAATCCAAGATTGCATTATTAATCAATCAAATCTTACTCACTCCTACCCTCAGTTAGATGACGCTTGAGCTCTAAACACCAGCTAGACTAATGATGGCTGCTATTATCATATTTAATTATCATTGAAAAAAAAGAGTAGGCTCAAAGTCTTGAACCTCGTTTTCGTATTATTTATCAGCGCTGGGTGGAAAGGATTCTCTCCCAGACTTTGACACCCGATGTTCTTGCAAATATTGATTGAGGGGAAGATCAACTGATAGGTTCACCTATAAACCTTAGGGCGTCAAATAGCACCCTTAAATTGAAAAAAAAAAAAGATCATAAAACCAACCATACACAATGAAGCTAACACAGGGAAGGGTATCGCGACATTCGATTCTTGTCTAAGTGCTAGGTTTGTTTCTAACGATAAATACGGCTGTTCTAATTCAAATCATTTTTCCTCATTCTTTCCAAGCTTGAAGACAGCATTTGATAATGTGTATACACACTTATAGCTTAAAACCCTTTGGTGACGTCAAAAAGCACATGTTTGGTTACTACCGTCAGGACATGTCTTGCAGTCCAGTACAGATTTTCCAGGTTTTTTGTCATATGCCACATAAGAACCATTTGGACATTTCTTACAGCCGTCTGCAACATAACCAAGAGTGTCGGAGTAAAAACCACCTGAAAGATGAACATTTCAAAGTTCCAGTTGAGGTAATGAGTGCATGGTTTCAAGTGCATTTTGAGTATATCTGAAAATAAAAATATAAACCATCAACGTACCCCCACCTCTCTCCATGTTTTTTTATTTTACCAGCTTCAAGGTTGAGCCTTCGAAAACAAATAGTTAACCTTCTAATAAAGCTACCCTGCAAAGCTGCTTCTGTGGGACTTTTCTCCCAGCACCAACAATCATGGTTTACTTTACAAATTGTTTATCAATTTCAGTTTAATTGATAGAGGAAATAGTTGACACTTGGGACAGAGGCTTTTTTTCATTTATATACTGAAATCTGAATCCTCTCTCGTACTGGTGTCATAAATTGACACAGCTTTTACTTCTCTTCACTTTTGTAGCCCTTTAGGTTTTATTCAAAATATATAGGTGTGGTTACTGACTCTTAAGATAAAACGACCCCAGTGGACTTTGAGCATTAAAGCTTCCCCCGAAAAACTGCTGTGGCATTATTGTACATATACAAGCATGAATAGGTTCATAAGATGGTCATTCCTAGACACATGTATCAAGAAATTAATCGCTTTCACCGTTTCTTACAGTGTCCTAAGCTACATCGGGTCCTTACAAACGTCCAAACTATAACATACCAGGAGAGCAATCAACGCACTTCCAGC